CCCCACTCCCCAGTTTTCTGCCTGTTTCTTTCCATTCTCCTCTGCACCGCGGCGGGGGGAGGGGCGGCCGCGTGGCGCTTTTTGTTGCCGGCGGCAGCCGAAACCCAAACAGGGACTAAAATGAAATGCAGCTTTTTTGATCTGTCTTAATTGGCAGCTAGGCAAAACCCCCAAACACTTCATGGCATTTTGTTCCATCTTGGAGGTTGTGGGCTGTTCCTTTCAAGAATTCACATGGAGCGATATCTCCAAGGTACATCTGTCAGTTAGACCACGTGACAAATCAGAGCATTTTCCTGAAATGCTGTCAGTCCTGTGACACGTACTTGGTTTGCAGTGCTGTGCAAATTCAGTAATGTTTAACGTTGGTTAATTCCAAGTTTCAGTGCAGCTATTAGAAAAGACCCTGCTGATGTGAGTGGGGTTTGGACTGGGCCTGTGCTGCTCTGCAAATGCTGGGTTAAGCTGGCAGGAGCTCATCTCACTGCCTAGAATCGCAGCTTAAAATCACTCATTTGCCCACACCCATCTGTTTTTTTGCCCTATCTTTGTCTCTCATGCATTTTATTTCTGTGTGGAGGAGGTTATCTATACAGAAGTTGAAATGACTACATTAATTGTTTTAAAATTTGAACATTAATTGTTTGCATATGCAGTTACTTGAAAACCAGCTCTCGGGACATTCTCTCTCCTCTGGATTTCTAACACAGCAAGGCTTTATGTGTTGGCTGCTTTTTTTTTTTTCAGGTATCCATTGTGTGTTGCCGTTTCAGCTGTTGCAACCACGTAAATCGTAGCTGCTCTGTCTGGGTTCTCGATTTTCATCTTTAGTTGTGCAGGCTGCTGAGGATTGAAAGTGTGGGGGTGACGTCCTTGAGGTAGCTCGTGATACTGGGTTTAAACTTTCGATGACTGGTGTGGCCAACAAGTTGTAAGGAGGCTTTGATTGCGTGTCTGGTTGGTGGTTGCTGCCACAGTGAGAACAGTGACCCAGGGTCCTGTGATAAAACCCTTCGTATAATCTTTATTTAGGAGTTTGCACTTTTCTCGAGTAAAACCCTTAGAAAGGCCGTGCTGCAAGTGTGACCTGTACTTCGGGAGGGAACCAGGCAGTATTTGTGAAAAGCTGAGGTACTCTTCATAGATTGATTTGTAGCAAACCAAAGGAAAAACTAAAGGCTTCCTAACAGCCTTGTTCATCTGAAATTGAGTGCACAGAGATACAGTGAATGTTTGGTCTCTTCTTTCATCTACATGGTTGTGTAGCATGGAGCGTGCAAATTAAAATTGTTTGTTAGTGTGATTTGAAGAAAAGCTCCTTTCATTAGTAAAAGCAGGACCTCTTGATTCCTACTCCGATTTCCATTTTCTGAGTCTGTTATTCAAGGTGATAGAGTGGGTCTTGAAGAGTGGAGCCTCTTTCCAGGCGTTGGCTGTAGGCTAGAATTATAAAGCTCCAGTCCCTCGGTCTCTTCTTTTTCTGTGCAGTCAAACAGAGTCACTGAAGGGGTCATTGCTGATATGTGGAGTCTCTCAAATCTTTGGGTCTTCCAACAATGCGATCTTATTTTTGTAAGGGTACTGTGCCTCTGGGAGATGATCTGTGGCAGCTGGTTTCCTTTCATTCCTCTGTTCCTCCAAGAAACAACACATCTCAGTTGGAACCGTTAGATTCAAGGCTACAGACTCAATCTAAGGGGCTCCCATCCCATGAACGATCTTTATCTTCCAAGCAGTATTCTGTCAAGATGTCACAGAGCTGCTCTATTTTCAGTTAAAGGTGTCTTTATCTTTTCTGTTAAACTTGGATGATGGCTTTGAAAATAATGAATGGATTTTAAAGTTATGAGTGTAAGCAGACATTGAGCAAAGTAGCCTTTGCTGGTTGCTCTAAGTAGTTCTGTTAGTAAGGAGTGCTTCTGTGATTATGGTAAAGTAAGGAGGGGCTGTAAAAACTCTGCTAGTAGGAAGTGTAAAAGTAGTTGAGTCATTACAGCCTATCCCTTTGTTGCTGACTAGGCCAAAGCAGAGACGATTTGTAAGTCTTTATTTGTGCTGATGCAGAAATGCATGGGGGCATGGCTTGCTGCAGAGGGTCAAGACCACCTGGAGACTAGTACAGAGCAGGCTACGAGTGCGTGCCTGTGCATACGTGTGCAGAGGTACTGCTTGGACAGCTGCTGGAGGAGCCCTGGCAATCTTGTCACACCCCTGTCACCAGTGGATTATTTTTGTCATATTTCTAATGTACAAACATACAGAATATGTTTTGTAACAAGGGAAAATACAACCTAAGTAGCAGTTGTTGAGCATCTTGTTGTGGGTGTCATTTGTGTGAGTAAACAAGGAGTTGTTGTGGATGCTTTTGGTTTGGTGCTAAATTGGGGACTCTCTTTTTGTCTGTTGAATTTGAGCTTTTTTTCCTAAAATGGTTGTGTTTCCAATAGAAACTTTATTTGTCACAAGCATTTCTGGGAATCTTATTTGCTCTGTAGACACATGTTTTTTCTTTTTCAGTGACTCTGAGCAATCCTGTGGAAAAAGGTACGTCCATTCAGTTTACTCTTTGGCATTCGGTCCTTGTGTAAAAAGATTCACAAATGTGCTGGTTAAAATATCAAGAATACTTTCTGTCAATTTTTTTAAACTCACATACTCTTTCAGTGTTTCCTTCGTATGATTACACATTCGTAAAGTATACAGCACGCGCTGTTAGGCATTCTGTAACTTTTGAATGTGCTGGGAAATGCTCCTATTTAGTCACAGTGCGAGAATGTAAAAAGGCTTTGATCCCTTTTACTCTTTAAGAAAAAAATACGTATATCTCTCTGTATAGACCCACGCACCTTTTCTCCCATTGTGTTTTATGTTTTCAGAGATGATTTTACAAGCAAAACAGAAAAGGCTAGTTCTGTTCTGCGGCCGCCTGGTTTTTTTCACTGTTTATCTGATCTTTCAATGAAAGCTATTTTTCATGGGTTTTGTAGGGAGGCCTTTGCAAAAGATTTTTTGCTTGGTTCTGTTGACCGCTAACGAGATACTGAGTGGTAATTGAGTAACTTTTGGTTACTACCATGGATGAGTTAGAGCAAAGGTTTCTGCCCCAGACGCAGGGTCGTGAGGTCGCTGAGCGAGCTGGCCAGAGCAGCAGGATCGCTTGACCAGAGGGCTTCCACCGGTGCATTCTTGGATGCCACAGCCCCATTCTAAGAATAAGGGGTTAGTGGCCCTTTTAGTATGCCTCCTCTTCTTTCCTGGAGGTGTTTTGGAGGCATTGGGCTAATACAGATGGCCTCTCACCTTCATTTCTTCTTCCAGGGTTGTGAAGGATAGCAGTAGGTGTAGCAGGTTTCAGCTGGCAGGTTGTTCCGTGAAGAACAGTGCCAGCTGATACTTTAAAGCTCCTCCAGATTGCTGCTTCAGGTAAATTCTCTTTCCACTAGAGAGCTGTCGTGATATTTGAAACTGTTACAGAGAAACTATAGAAAGCGTGATATTAATGATTATTCAGCAGAAGAACGTTATTAGTCGCCTAATCTGTTAGTGCATCTCCAGGTCAGCTTCCTGTAACATGCTGCTGTATGGCTTTATCAACAAAATTAAACCTGTTGCAAGATGTATCTCCTTATATATTAATTTAAAAATGACTGAGCTCCACCTGCATGTAGTAGAAGGATAACATCTCAGGCAAACTTCAGAGCATAATACTGAATTCTCAGTGATTCACAGATCAGTCACACAGTCAGTCACGCTCTTGTGAGGCATGTCAGATCATTTGTCATCTCCTGAGTCTCAAAGCTGTGTTTGGCCTTTTGACCGATTACATTTTCACACAGTCAGTCTTGCCTGAGAAGTTAGGAAGCGTTTGGATTTATACTTCTCTTTCCACTAGCAGGAGTTACTTTAATTTTAGTTTGCTAGAATTTGAAGCTTAAAAGAAAAGGGGAGAATTAGGTTATTAGTATGATTAAATGGCGTGTTTACAGAAAACTGTCTTGTGAGTGTTAGATAATGTCTTAGTGAGATGAGCATTAAAGAAATAACGATGGAATAGTTTGGGTAGCTGAAGGATAGCTGACTTGGCTTTCTGAACCACACTGTGCCTGCTTCTGCCAAAGGCTTTGAAACGAATTTTGCAGATTGAAGTAAGACTACTCTGACACATGCTGGATTTCATGTGGTAATGTTGTATCTAGTGGATTACAATTCTTTCTCAGTAATCACAAGACCTGTTTTGCTCAAATTGAGGGATGCTTTCCTGATTTGCTCTATTATAAAAACTGTGGCAAATCTAAAAGCTGTTTAATAAGAGATTTGAGTTTTTCTGGTGATGTAAAGCTCTGCTCGAGCATGTTATTTCTCTCCGCTCTCACAAGTGGTGAAGAATGCATTGCGTGAGTGGACAGTGCTCTGACAATATGGTACTGGGATTCTGAGTGCTGCTAGTAGCAACTAAACCCAAAATTTGGAGTTGCTGGAGTATTGCGGTATTAACCTTTATGCTGCTCAGCGCCAGCCGGTTCTGCTTTGCCTGTGCCTTGGCTATGGGGAAGAGACAGGGATCCCGTCATCCCCGGTGACGCAGGGCTGTCCCCTGCCCCGTGGGTGAAGTCTCTTACAGCTGTGTTCTTCCTCACCCACGGAGTCGGATCGGGTGAAGAAGGGGAGGTTTCTGTGCTAGGTAACCCCTAACTGCAGCCACAGAGCTCTGAAATTCGACTGACCCTTGGCCCGTAAGGTTTAGCTGTATTGTAATACCGGTTGGTACTGCAAATCTTTCTCTGTTCCCCCCCCTTTTTTTTACATTGTGATGAAAGATTGGAATTATGCCCATTGTGAATGAAACTTTTGCTTAAGAAGTCATTTTTTTGCTTCTGTTTTTTGTTTTGTTTTGTTTTTTAGTGGCCTATCTTATAATATTCCATATTCTCTTTGTGCTCTTTGTGTGGACGTATTGGAAGTCTATTTTTACTCTCCCGGTGCAGCCAGGCAGAAAGGTAAGAGTCCAAGCACTATGCATCCCTGCTTTCGTTCTGCAGTGAATGATATCTGGGTGGTCTGGGCAACTGATCAGGTGTCCTAAAGAGCTGGAAAGGGACATAGAGTTGTCCATAAAAACGGATTAATTTACTGTTCTGAGAATCCCTTAACTGCCCCAAAGAGCATCGTTTAAATCAGAGATGGTGTTAACTTTTAAAGCTGCCTTTTCAGGCGTTGCAGGAGCTGATAGGATTTTTCATGTTGAGAGTAATAGGATTGGTGATTATTAACTTTTGTATGTATATGGTGTGGCTGATCTCTAAGCATTTAATACATTGCAAGTCAAATCCTGAGGAGCTTCCTTAACCTCGCCCTACTGGAGTCTCCTGAGATAGGACCTTCAGTTTTGGTTTTCACTCTTCACAGAAGATGTGGCAGTGCAGATGGAAATGGCTGTGTTCGTAATGGTAGTGGCGTTTCTTGATCTCTTGAGCCAGATCATTGTGGTGCGTCTGGGGATGTTCAGTGTCCCACCAAAGTCCGGCATGCCTGCTCTGCTGGGAGCCCTTTGCCAGCTGGAGGAGGCCTCGCTGGAGTGGTTAAGTTTGCTTTGTTTGTCAGACTGTTTCTTGTGATAGTGGAGGATAGAAGAATCATTCTCCTTTTAAATGTGCTGAGATTCTGCTGCTGCCTGTGTGTGGTCATGTCCACAGCACATGGCATTCGGTTTGGTGTGAGGAATACATGTAGCTCCAGGAGCTCCAGTCCTTGGGCTTTCCTGGTCAGCAGCATCACAGAAGATAAATGTACCAGTATGCTATGGGAAGGAGAAGCCAGGGTTCACTGTGACAAAAGTAGATTGTTTCATGAATAATACTTTAGTTACGAGTTTGGCATGTTTTTTTTAATGTAGGTGGCTTCTTTTAGGACAAGAGTATGATGTCGTGGTTGGGGCACAGGACAGTCAGAGGCAGACATTTGTTTCAGTTCTTTTTCTACCAAATATTTACTTTTTCATGTTCTTGAATGGGTTGACTTTTTTTGGCATTTTGTTTTACCTCCTTATGAAATACTAGTAACACACTGCGTTTGGAGCAATGGAATGAGGGTGATGCTTGTGTGGCACTCCACATCTGCATGCCCATAATTGGATCCTAATTACAAGAATGTAAATTTATAAATAACAACTAATCCCAGTTTTAGAAATAGAATACTGTGGCTAGGGACTGGATCTTGCTCACAAGGGAAATGCTTAAAGTAACCTGATCATAGTTAGTAATGTTATTCCTGAAAAATAGTAATCTAAGGCAGCAGTAGTAGCAATTCTAGTATGTTCGTTCGTGATCCTGAATTTCACTTCTGCGTTTCTTATTGATGTATCACATAGTATCCCGGCTGTCCAGCCCTTACTCTCTCTATTTGTCTTCTTAACAAATACATTTTCGTGTTAGATTAATCTCATTAGAAGGGGTGGGAGATAAAAACGTTTCCAAACTTGCCTGTGTTTGAGATATTATCTCTGCTGCCCATGGGTAACTGCTCCTCTCGTGACTTCTGCTTCCAGTACCACATGTCCTACGCTGACAAAGAACGCTACGAAAATGAAGAAAGGCCGGAGGTGCAGAGGCAAATTCTCGCCGAGATTGCAAGGAGGTTGCCGGTGTACACCAGGACGGGGAATGGAGGTCAGCTACGCAGAGAGCTTTGTTTCACTGAATCTAACCAGGCACGCTGAAGCAGCCTGTGCTGGCAGAGATGATCCTGCCAACCAACACGGCGTTCCTAATGCCCCTGCATGCCGCCAGTCATTCCTGTGCCTTTTCTCTCAGGCTTTATGTTTGGGAAAAGAAAAAAGCCTTGAACACTTCTGTTCATCCTCAGCGCAGTGCCAGGTGCTGCCTCTGAGAAACAATGCCTTACCCTTTGCATTGACCCCTCAAAAGCCTCCTTACGGCGTCTGCGCTCAGTAACAGCAATAGTACAGCAAAGTCTGTCGTCGTTCTTACTTAAAATGGTGCCCAGCTTAGAGAGGCAGGGCGTTATTCTGTGAGCAGGTTTCAGGACCCTGTTCTGCGGTTAAATGCCTCCTGTGCTCCCTTCAAAGGCTGACAAACCTGCGGTCACGCTGGAGGCTCTGACCTGTTCATTCCCGGCAGAGAAGCCAGAGCATTCTGCAGTAAGGAACTGCTGTGTAGGCCCTGCTCCTGGTGACGTGTGTAAAGTCAGAGTAAATGTGGAAGCCAGAAGCCCATCTTGTGAAGTGACTGAGAAAAGAACACGAGTAGTTAGGAAATGAGCAGAATAGTAACTAACGTGTGAAAAAAGAACACTTTTCTGTTACTTGGTGTTAATGTGTCTTTAATTTCAGGTGTTCGATTCTGTGACAGATGCCAGCTGATAAAGCCTGATCGTTGTCACCATTGCTCCGTCTGTGCTATGTAAGTTTCTGG